TTGCTATTAGCCTTCTCCACCTCTTTCTTGGTCCTCCAATGAAATTTACATTCTTTGAGGTTTCTGAGGCAGCGGGGACTTTAAATGAGTTTATGTGGGCTTTATGTTGCCTCTGGACTCTCCTAATCATGGAGGCTCCCATTTCCTTAACGGGCTTCCCATCCTTTCCGACCACATACCATTTCCACCCGAGTCGAGCATGATTCTTCTTTGTAACTGGATTCATGGTTATCCCCTTTACTCTGAAATCTCCACCATTATAGCTTGGTTGGGGTGGCTTCACATACATCCATCTTGGTACCTTGGGCATGATTCTTCTTTGTAACTGGATTCATGGTTATCCCCTTCACTCTGACATTTCCACCATTATAGCTTGGTTGGGATGGCTTCATATCTATCCATCTTAGCATATTGGCTTCTTTGTCATCTACTTCTTCAGAAGCTTCATAATTTCTGAATACTTCTGACAAACCCTTTGGTTGAGAGTTTCCTCCCAACCGTTGGAAAACATTCCTTGAGGTTTCTCTTTCCGTTGCCCACATGACATTTTTGCAGGTTTCATCTTTTTTTTTCTTTTTTCTTTTTGATCAACTCTTGACTAATAACAACTCCTGTTGCTGGGATTTCTAATTCACACTCACATTGGCATTTACTACATAACACCACTCATTTGATTATGGCTGCTTTAGGCTTCTCGGGCAACTTGATAGCCTCTTTAGTTGGCCTATCAACTTGCCTTCTTTCTGCCTTTACCTCCCAGGTAGCTTTTCCTTTCCTATTTTCTACCCACATTAGGTTGATCATGTTTATTGGGACTTCAGGGAAGGGGTCAACGTCAATCATCATGTTAGCTTGCGGTTTCTCCAGCAACAACTTTCCCTTTACTATAAGGTCTTGTATCCAGTTCCTGAACTAGACATAGTTGATTATAGAGTGATTGAAAGTGTAATGCAACTTGCAATATTTCTTTCTTTTTAGCTCTTCGGGCTTAGGCAACTTTTTGGTACTGTCAAGCATGATCACTCTTGCCTAAACTAGCTCTTCATAGATCTCCACGGCCTTGGTTAAGTCAAAGCAATAACTCTGGTACTTGGGGGGGTTTCATGGGGATAAATCCTCCATCATTCGTGACCACTTTTTAGTCCTTAACTGGCTATACTAACCCATTTACAGTTACTAGTATGAAGAGGGTAGTTATCTCTGCTGTATACACGTCCATTCTCTCTCCTTCATGGCCATTATTCTCTTCTGGCTCTCCTTCAAACCCCACTTCGTGAATGGTAGCTTTGCTTTTGTAGAAGGGAGGCACCTTAGATGAGTGCTTGACTTGCTACTTCTCTAATAACAGCTTCTTATACTTGGCGGCTGCAATTACTAACTCCTATAGCTCATTGAACTGCAAGTCATTAAATTTCTTCCTCAAAGGCAATCTCAACGCCTTTTGAGCTATAGATATGAGCTGTGCATGAATTATAAGGACTGGCACCTCATCCTCGTTCTACTGAACCTCATCATAAAGTCTTCTGTAGACTTATGCTCGTATTGCTTCACCTCCATAAGGTCATTGATAGACATTTCAGGCTTGACCTTGTAAAACTGCTCATGGAAGGCCATCTCCATTTGCCTCCAGTTGGCAATGGAATTAGGAGGTAACAAATAATACCACTGAGATGCTAAGTCTACCAAGGAGTTCCCAAACAATCTAAACTTGTAGTTGGATTGTCTTCAAATGTTAAACATTGATTAGAGAACTTGACCATGTGATTTCTGGAAGACACATTACCATCTTCTTTGCTGAATGTTGGGAATGTGGGCATCTTAAAGTTGACTGGAAAAGGGTTCTGCTCATCAACGTGCTTAGGATAAGGTTTCTGATAAGTGATCTTAAACAGCGGGCGAACTTGTGGCTAAGCATTCCGAGCCACCATCATCCTCAAGTCGGCTAACTCATCCCTGAGTTGTTGGTGAGCTGTATTATCAGGAAGAGTAGGAGGAGGTTCCCATTTTAGGCTACGATCATTGCCCGAGAAAGTCTCTTTTCTTGGCTCGGGCTTCCTCCACTTGGCATCCCCTCCCTTACTGGCCAATAGTGGGGACATATAAGGAAGATGCTTGTCTGCCTTGGTAGGCCCGCATTTCCTATTGGATTCCCCAATCAACTGGGGCATCTCATACTTCGTTCTTTCTGGCTCGCTTTGCCCGCTACCATTAAATGGAAATAGTAAGGGGTCGAGCAACTCTACTTCTAGTATTTCCTCCAACATTGGTACACTAACTCCTTCCTTGTTTTTATTTTTACCATTTTTCTCTTTAAGCAAAGGAGATAATGGAATAATTGGTTCTTCCTTAGGGCTCGCTCCCTTCACATAGCCATTTTTTGGAGTAGAATACTCTAAATTTAGCCTTCTCTGCAAACTCCCCGTTAAGGAACAAAGTCTGTTGACTTTTCCCTTGGTTTCTAGGGAGATTTTCTCCATACTTCTTAATACTTACACCATGGTGGCTTGCAAGTATTCATTGGTTACTATTCCCCCCGACTTCTTAGATAAGGTTGGGCTTCTCAAGACAGCTGGTCCTTGTAAGGAGGGAACGTTCCCTGGGCGGTCTGCCATGCATGATTTTGGTAGAGCTTGGGGTAGCCTGTACTCCGTGTTCCACCTGAAGGTTTTTTCCTTCCTTATTTTTCTTGGCATACAAGACTAATGTAGTCTTATTGGGCGTCCTAAAACTATGTTCGGGCAGGAATTTCACTGGGAAAGGTCCTTGGCTCGAGCATACAGCTCCCCAATGAGTTAGCACTTTGGTTAGTTGTCGTGTTTCTTCTTGTTGAGAGACTGCAAGATGAGAACAAAGTTAGTTTTGAAATGTGCCTTTGTACGGCCTTAGGTGTAGGCCTTGATGCTCACAATCGAAACTAGCTAAGTGCTTAGGCGTGCCACTGCCATCTCAGTATGGCAGATGTAAAACAAGTGTTTTTAAGTCGATTTCTTGCGCCCCAAGTTATTCTGAATTCTTGTTATCAAAGGATTGTCGTAGATGGGTTAAGTCTACATTAAGTTCTTTTCTGTGCCTTGAGACCAAGGGCTTTTAGTTTATTATCTTGTATGCTTTAAAGGGTGAAAGTCCAGATCTGGCTTAAGTCATTGGTCTAATTCCCATTCATCTTTTATGATAGTAAAACCACTAAGTGAACCAGGTCTGAGGACCAATGGAGCTTCTGATCACCAAAAGACTGGAAATAACTTGAATATATACTGTAGAATACATCAAACTTAAAAGACAGACGTCGCCGCTGCGAGGCGAGGGAGTCACTTGTCTGGTCTTGTACTAGATCTACTAATGGAAAGACGAAACAAAGAGAGTCGGGCAAGATTTCACCTTGTCGGGCAAGGTTGAACGTCTTGCAGTCTCTTCTCTTTGTGATTACAAAAGGTTGTGTGTTTGGAATGAATAGATGGTAAACAAGTTTACACGAGAGAATCGATACTACACCACTAGGGGTGATATCAGAGCTTTAAACTAGACAAAAGATGGCTTTTGTAGGGAATGATCCTAAAAAGGATTGAGATCTGGGCTGATTACAGCTTTCAGATGCAAATCTTGCTTCAGAGTGTTTGATTGGTTGAGTGTCCTTGTCTCTGGGCCCTGTTTTCCCTTTTATAGGCAATGATCTTGGCTGTTGCAAGCTTTGCCCGAAAACACTTCAGTGAGTCATCACCTTTTTTACATGTTCTGCCATTCAGATGGTGCTTTTAGGCTGCGGGTAGGTTGATTTCCATCGGTTGTCACTTCCCTTGTAAGTACCTAACCTTTGCATTAATGAGGGGCCATCATATTGTCTTTGAGATGGATGGATGGGCTTGGTGTTGGGCCTCGGGCAAGTCTTCTTTCTTTAGTTATTTTGGACTTTCTTTCCTTTAAGTCCAAAGTCTAAATATTAGCCCAAACAACTTTTCTCCGTTTATTAGGTGCATATGTACAGAACCAGTTTGAAGAAGTCCCGATGTGTTTCATGCTGCCCTCATTGAAGGATGGTGGTGTCTATTCAAAGTTTTGGGTCCATATCCCGCTTTTGGTAAAGCACTTGGGCCGCCCCCAATTTTGTCTTTGTGTTAAGCATGTCAACATGATGTTAGTTAAATCACATGGGGCCTAATGCTGGAAAGATTTCAAAGAATAAGGGAAAGTGACCTGATTTTCAGACACTTACTTTAGGTTAACACATTTTTCTTTATTATTGACAATTGAATTGAATTAATTAAACGAAAATAACGAAACATTATTAAACATGAATGTGTAAGAGGAAAAAAATTTGTGTGTTTATCATTTTTTCTAAAGTCATGTTTGCGTGAGTAAATGTTGAGTTCCACTAGATTGAGACCAAGTTAGTGAGGAATGAATTACAAAAATGTGATAAGAGGGATTAAGAAATGCACTACATAGAAAACTTCATTATAAATTTTGTTAAAGCATATCCTGCATTGGGGATTGAACTACATATAGCTTATACTGAATCGTCCAACTACTACTTGCATCGAGACATTTTGTAATAAAACTCCACACCTCTTGAAATACACGTGTAGTTAACTTGGAGAAAGTATGGATGATGATTAGTAGTTTTCCCATTGACACTCTCTGAAATTTTAACAAATTTTAATGAAAATCTAATCGGAAGGGGAACTAATAATAAACCATAGCTTTATGCTCCTTGTTGGTGTATTAGTGTTCCTCGAATTTCATTTTTAATTAAATGTTCGTAATCAATTACATTTGTTTATTTTTCTGAAATAAAATCTAATATACAAGTTGTGCACGTCATAATTAAGCATGGTTTTATACATAAGTAAGCTATGATGATATGCAATATACATGGATCACATGCATGACTCAACTTGACGTGAAACTTTATATTTTATTTTTCAAAAGAAGAAGAACGTGATGATAGTGAGGGTGTGGGGGGCATGAACAGCTAAAGCCACCAAATCTTCCCTTTGAAGAAAAGAATAAACAAAACTAGAAAAGAAGAGGAGCCCTACTTCATCATATTCCAACCAAACCACAGGCAAAAGAAAAAGAAAACCTGATAAAATTTAACTTGGCAAGTCAAGAATAATATTAAAGAAAAAGGCCATTGAAAATCATAAATTGTAGCGGGTATTTGATTGATGGAAATGTATCTGTTTGAGGGAGTTTTAAGAAAGAAAGAGCTGCAGTTTTTTTAGCATGGGATTTCATGGTAGGCTCAGCAGCAAAGAAACTGGGGCAAATAGCAGGTTGTGTAGTCTCTGTTCAGAAAATGGGTGTTACTGTGACATTGCAGAGGCCCCATTTGAGGAGAGGAACAGACTGATTGGAATTAAAGATCAAGTGAAGGAAGTTGAGAACAAATTCATGTTTTTACAGGTAATTACTTGCCCCCTCACAATTATTTGTTCATCCTTCTCCTTTGTGGCGGTTGTCCAATTTGTAAATTCATTTTTGTGACAAACACTAGGATAATCTACACTAATTAGGTTGTTTAAACTATGAGGAGCGGAAATTGAACATTTGTGCCGAGGTAGAAAGTAGAAACACATTGCTAATTAAAGCCAACTAGATTAAGCCCAAGTTGTCCAATTTGTATCTAATAGCAAGTCGCGTTCAATCAATAAACTTTGTGGTTTTCTCAATTCCTGGTGAACTCCAACGTAGCTCAGGGTATTCCATTCGATTTTCCAGTATATATATCACGCTGCATCAAGAAATATATACTAAACACTTGTGGGAATATACATACGCAGAGAATGAGTTCTTGGCAGCAGATGGATAGGCAGGCAGCATTCAACAGTTTGGAAGAAAGCAGGCTCAATCTAGTAGCAAAGGTGACAGAGTATAAAGGAAGAAGGGAACTTGATGTGGTGACAGAACTGAATGCATGTTTTGGCAGTGAAAATAATGTCCCTTTTAATTGGGATTTTAGAGGGAGACTGATTAAAAAGAATGAACCAGCAGGTGGTTTTCACAGCAGAAGGTTTCTCACTAACTGCATAAGAAAGTTGCTCGTCTCATGGAAGTGGCAAAAGGTTTATGGTATTGCAGTGAAACTAGCAATGTTTTCTGTGAGCATTTCTTCTGTAATTGCTGCTTACAGTACCAGGCAATTATTATACACCAGCTCAAGAAAGATGATTCCATTTTTGAGTTTCAAAGAAGCAGGAAAAAGTGGTAGTCTATTAGCCTTCTCAAAGAACCCTCTTGATGTCTTCTTTGGTAGGGGATGATTCTTAATTCTTTTTAATTTTTATGTCACTCATTCTCGTAGTTTGTCAAGAAAACTTTAGAGATTTATTTTTTGATTAAATTTAAGTAACACTAAAGTTTGTGAGAGTTAAATTTATGACATGATATTAAGTAAAGACTAAGTGTCACTAGACTAAATAATCATTAATGTGAAATGTTACGAGATTGGATCTCTTTCTCTTTTTCACGTACATGTAAGCATGTGCTGTCCACTTGTAAGAGTAGGTAGTCATCAAATGTCTTGTATCATATTTTCAACTAGTTCTACCCTTGTAAATTTAAATCAAAATTTGATAGTTGGAAGGAATTGAAAACTACAAATTTTGTGTATATCTTGTATTCTTGTGGGCACTTTTAATTTGAAAATGGATACAAATTCAACAGCTCTTTGGAACAAGAATAGAAAAAACAAAAACATATAAAAAATGCACAAGCAATCTAAAAATCATGGTCATGTGTGATGACTACGAATTTTAACAATACACACAACGAGAATCAACTTAATCACACTCATTAAAGTTAGACTTAATCACTATCCTAAGTCTAAAGAACCTAAAACCACCAAAACCCTAAAATAACCCATAAACCCAAATGACAACTGGAGTGCTGATATCAAACTCACCACATATAACTAGGAAGAATTTTAGAACAAGGTGCGATTGTGAAGAAAACTCAGTTTTTAGCGATCCAACTGTGCATAAGAAACAAACAAAGGTCCTCATCATATGTCAATGGCCAAAAAGTAAGAAGACTAGCATGAATAAAAACTTTCAGATGGAGGGTTTTGAAGAATGATATCATAGAAGAAGCAGAATAAATATGAGCTACTAAGATCAAATTATTCACTACGAGGGAGTAATTGGATCAGATTTAACTTTTAACCCAAATATCATAAAAGCCCGTTCAAATTTCTCGCACATGAATCCTCATCCACAGCTAGCAGGCCCAATTTGATTGCTCCCTTCAGCCCCACGAATCATCATTTTTTCTTCTGTACACTGTTCCTGACAAAGGAAAGAGGTATTCGTTGATTCTCCTGCTAGAACTTGTAAGAGCATTTCCAATGGGAGCTTTATGTTGGATGTTAGACTCTATTCCAACAGCTAATATGTCAATATAGTTAATAAGTATTGTTGTGGAATGTAAGTGCGATTAGGGTTTAGTTATAAGCTATAACTTGGACTCCAAGTAAGGTATATAATCCGGTTATAATTGGAGAGTAAGGGCTCTTGAATGAACTGATGTTTCTTCAAGTTTTGATTATGGTTTCTTTTCCGCTACTATATTTAATGCTTGCATGCATACGTATATGTATGTACTAAGTTTGAGAGATAATATGCATGCACATGTATGCAAATCTCGACTAAATATAAAACTAACATATACATATAAGACTGCAAACAAGTGCGATGATTGCTTCTTGTATTATGATTGCATTCACAGAAATCCTAAAACTGTCTACCATGCATAACTAATGTAAGAACTAATTTTGGCCTATTAAAACTTAGAAATTGTTTGCTTAAAAAGTCTTGATTGCTAAGCATGTTTAATGATCGAAAGTTCTAAGGTTCATAGCATGCTTAAAGTTATAACATGATCAATGTTTTTGAGATATAATTGAATGAATGAAACACAAACAAATTCGTTTCAATCATTCAAGAACGGCTAAACAATTCAAGGTTTAATTGATCAGCTCGTATCAGTAGCCATAACAATGAGGTTATATCCCCAAATAAAGGTGTGACTAATCGACATTGGTTCGGTTACTGATAGCTCAGTGAAAACATACAAGATGCATATGCTGTGAAAGTTAATAGCCAAACAAAGGTGGATGGCTTTCATGTTGTACCATTACTTATGCAACTTATATGTTTTGCACCGATACTAATTAAACTTGAAAAACCAAACAAAGGTTGAGTTGTTTCAATTATACAGAATATAGAGTCTTGAATACTTAGTTTGTTTGAAAATCTTTTAGTAATTAGCTTCCTAAATTCAATTCAAACACTCAATGGAACCGACAATAAGAAATGGAGGCAAGATATTGAAATAACACTAGGGCTCATGGATTTCGATTTAGCTCTAAGAGAGAATGAACCAGCCAAGCCTGCTGATGATGCAACTGCAGAAAAGAAGAATGAATATGAAAGGTGGGTTAAGGCTAATAGAATGGCGTTGCTAGTAATCAAAAGACCAATGTCTAATCTGGTTTGAGGGGCAATCATTAAGTTAAACAATGCTAAGGCATACCTTGACTCCATAGAAGCAAAGTTTAAGGAATCCGACAAGGCTAAAACTGGAACACTAATGAACACCTTTGTAACCACTAAGTACCTTGGTGGTGATGTGAGAGAGCACATTTTCTCAATGGTTGATGCAGATGCAAAACTTAATGCACTTAACATTAAGATAGATGATCATTTCCTAGTTCATCTTGCCCTGAATTCCTTACCTCCTGAGTATTCTCAGTTGAAGAGTACTTACATAGCTCAGAAAGAAAAATGGGACCTAAACAAGCTGATTGTCATCTGTGTGCATATAGAGAAAAATATTCGACAAGATAAAGGGAAGAAACAAGTCAATGTAGTGCAGAATGTCAACCCTGCAAATCCTCCCAATGAGAAAGACAATCCTCCACGGAAAAACAATAAAAGGGCTGCAGGAAGGGTCAATAAGGGTAATAACCATCTAAAAGTTCATAAGGGTGTTGGAATAAAATGTTTCATATGCAAAAAGGTGGGACATCAGAAAAAGGAGTGCACTAGGTATAAATGTTGGAAGGAAAACAAAGAAAGTAAGAAAAACAAAGGTACAGTACATAAAATTTCAGTTTGTTTTGAATCAAATTTGGTTGAGATATCTTATGATACCTGGTGACTTGATACTGGTGTTACAATTCACGTAACAAACTCATTGCAGGGGTACATTAGTAAGAGGGTGCCAAACAAGGATGAGGTGTCAGTGTTCGTGGGCAATGGAGCTAAAGTTACAGTGGAGTTCATTGGAGTAGTTAGGCTTGAATTATTTTCTGGTTTTTTGCTAGATTTGGTTGATGTTGCTTATATACCTTCCATGAGAAAGAATTTTGTCTCAGTTAGTAGACTTGTTAAATCAAAGTTTAAGTTTGATATTAATGAGATTGGTTTTTCAACATTTCGAAGTTCCAATCTAATTGGTGATGGAGTGTTGATTGGTGACATGTTCAAGCTTAACTGCAATATACCAATGAGTGTGGTTAACACAATAGGGCACAAACGAACACTAACAAATGATGCCTCATCCAAGTTATAGCATAAGAGATTAGGGCATATTTCTAAAGAGAGAATGCAAAGATAAACTAGAGAACAAATCTTGCCATCACTAAACTATGGTGATTTCGAAATTTGCACTAACTGCGTTAAGGGAAAATTGATAAACAAGAAGAAGAAATGTTCGACTAGAAGTACAAAGCTGGTAGAACTAATCCACATAGACATTTATGGACCTTTCCCAGCACAAACACATGATGGCTATAGGTATTTCATCACATTAACAGATGACTTTTCTAGGTTTGGGTATGTATACTTGTTGACTAAGAAGTCTAGTGCCTTTGCTGCTTTCAAAATTTATAAAGTAGAAGTAGATAACCAATTAGACTACAAAATCAAGGTGGTAAGGTCTGATAGGGATGGAGAGTACTATGGAAAGTTTAGTGAATCTGGTAGACAACCTGGTCCTTTTTTCATTATTTTTGCAAGGGCATGGAATTGTTGCTCAATACACTAATACTAGTACCCCCCTCTAAGCAAAATGGAGTTAGTGAAAGAAGAAATAGAACTTTGATTGAAATGGTAAGAATCATGATGAGTAATTCAAAGCTACCTACTTTTATTTGGGGAGAAGTAATCAAAATTGCAAACAACTTGCTAAATAGGGTCTCTAGTAAGTTTGTCCCCAAGACACCCTTCGAGTTATGGACTAACAGAAAACCAATGCTAAATCACTTGAGAATTTAGGGATGCACTGTGGAAGCAAAAGCATACAATCCAATGGAGAAGAAGCTGGACCCTAGAACAATCACATGTTTTTTTGTAGGGTATCCAGAAAGAACTAAGGGTTACAGGTTCTATTTCCCCAATCACACTTCAAGATTCATTGAAACTGGGAGAGCCAAGTTCATTGAAGAAGTTAATGATGATCAATGGGAGAAGAATCTTGACTGAAATGAAGAAATCACAGCAATGCAAGAAGAAAACCTAGGTGATGATATGACAGATGAAGTTGTTGTACCAATTCCAGTACAAAATGAATAAGTTGTAGAACCAACACAAGCTACTCAACAAGAATAATTGCAGAAGAACCTGTGCAGTTGGATAACACACCAACCATTCGAGATGAACACATTGAGCCTGTGCAAATGGAAACCAAAAGATCTACCCGTGTAAGAAAACTTGCAATATCAGATGATTTCCTTGTGTATCTGTAAGAAGTTGAGTTTAATAGTCAAGAAGAAGATCCATTAAACTTCAAGACAGCAATTGAGAGTCTCAATAATGCACATTGGCAAGAAGCTATACAATCAAAATTGGATTCCATGAATAACAACAAAGTATGAGAGTTGGTTGAGCTTCCACAAGGGTGTAAACCAATAGGCTGCAAGTGGGTCCACAAGACCAAGAGAGACTCAAAGGGTGATATTGAAAGATACAAAGCTAGACTTGTAGTAAAGGTTTATACTCAGCAAGAATGAGTTGATTATAATGAAACATTCTCTCCAGTTTCTACAAAAGACTCTTTTAGAGTGATCATGTCACTAGTGGCTCACTTCGATCTACTTTTGCATCAAATGGATGTTAAGATTGCATTCTTGAATGGAAATCTTGAAGAAGAGATCTACATGAAGCAACCAGAGGGTTTCATTCAAGAAGGGAGAGATAATTTGGTCTGTAAACTTAACAAGTCTATTTGTGGATTGAAATAGCTCTTGAGTGTAAACATGAATTTTCCTGCGATGAAACGAGACAAGAACACATATACAAAATAATATTTTGTATTAATGATTTTGGGGTTACAATCTCTTTATAGTTTTATCCTGCGA